TGGGGAGTAAATGACAGTAAACAATTCAAATAATATCATACTGTGATAAAAACTATGAAGGAAAAATAGGACTAACTGCCAAAAAGTAACAGAGTAGAGGTCACAGTTCTCTTCAACTGGAGATGTGAATGCCCAAGATGGAACCAGTCAAGTGAAGGCACCCCAGGCAAAGGAAGCAGCTGTGCAAAGGTCTTGAGTAGACCAGCAGATATGCAGGTGGTGTGGGTGGAGAGTCAGTGGCGAGGAAAGGGGAGAAAAGGTCAGAGGGGCAGCAGAGGCTGAATCACTGCAATACAGAGTAAGGAATTTGCATTTTTATTCCATGCCATTGAAGGTGTTTGGAGTGTTTTTAATTCAGGAAAGATGGATTAAAATTTTTGTTTTAAAAAGATTATTAGATGATGGTGTAAGAATATAGTGAACCTTCAACTTATGCTTGGCCTGACATATAAACAATTTGGGTTATGACTAGAATTTTAATTTTAGCTTATAGACAAAGTTACAACCCAAATGCTGCTCACTTGTATTTCCAGATGGTCTCAGATACGGATTCAACCCTTAAAGAGTTCTGGAAGGAACAAAGCAACATCCTTTTCTGTATGGAGTTAACTGAGAAATCCTGAGCTAATGTCGAAGAACACTGAGATCTGCCTGTATACAGGAGAGAGATTTTTGAAGGCTCTCTAGAAGAGCCCAAGCCTTCAATTGACAACTTGAGTTAAAACCAGCCCTCAGGAATGAATTAAGTTTGTAAGTCAAGGGTCCACAGTGTACTATACTAGGTAAAACTCGATGACATTCCTATACTCATGAAATTGACCTTCTGGATATGGAATTTATTAGAGGAGTAAAAATTAGGCAAATGACATCTACCTGGAATTTTCCTTGTTGTTTAGATCCTGCAGAAGGTTTCTTTAGGTATATATATATATATATATATATATATATATATATATATTGAGACAGGATCTTGCTATGTAGTCCAGGCTGGCCTTGAACTCACTATGTAGCGCAGACTGGCCTTGAACTTGTGGCTATTTTCCTGCTGCAGTCTTCCGAGTGCTGGGATTACAGGTGTGCATTTTTAAAAAATTTTAGACCCTGATGCTACACATCAAGGTAAGAATTTCATCTTCTAATTCCTTGATGCTGCCAAAGAATGTGCATGCAGGAATGCAGGAGGTTATGACATTGGTGTTTGCAAGAGCCCAGATGGAGGCTGCTATGTTTGGGAAAAGTGTTCACAGCTATGTAAGGGTACAAATGCAAAAGATCACTTCAATTTCTATGCTAGTCTTGGTGTACCAGATGAACAGCTGAAACCTATTTGCTGATAAGATATCTTCAATTCTTGACCTACAATCTGTGGGGCAGAGATAAATAAGATGCTTTCCTCAGTTACGCCAAGAAGGTACCACGATCTTTATAACTTTAATTTCTGGCTGCATGTAGAAGATGGTCTTGTTCTCAGCTTTGCCATTTAAGCTAGAAACAAAGAATATCAAATGTTCTCCTTGTCCAATCTTTCCTTGCTTGTTTTTTCTGGTCCCTAGGAAGGCAAGAGTACTGACATTTGCCCCAGATGCCAAAAATTCTGGTCAACTTACAAATTCCCACCAGAAAAGGACTAGATGTGGCTTTCCAAAGCCCCTTAACCACTATTTTAAGAAACTATAATAGTTTTAAGTTACTTATATCAGGAGTAGCATATGCGTGGTGACTATGGTGTTTATGAGTATGCACATACCTGTTATATGTTAGTCCTCACATAGTTATAGCTTCTTAAAGTCCATTTATCGTAATCTTAATATCTAAGATGTTTATAAATTCTGTTACTTGCCATGCATGTGGCACATGCCTATAATCCCAGCACTTGATAGGGTGAGACAGGAGAATTGCCATTAATTTGAGGCCAGCTTGGGGTCTATAATGAATTCAAGGCAAGCCTGAACTACACAGCAAGACCCTATCTCAAAAAACCAACAAAAATAATTCTGTTACTATGTCAAGTTGAACAATGCAAAAAAGAGAAATTTTGAAGACTGCTTAATGAACATAGATGTACCTGCTTCCTATCCTACTAGTTTAGCTTCCCCAATAACAGCACTTCTACAATAACAGTATCTCTCTGCTGGATTTGTTCACTGCTGTATGCCCAACACTAGAACACAAACTGACACATAGTAAATGTTTAGTAAATACTTACTGAACAGCAGAATGACCTGGGTTTTGTCTTGCATTGGCTCCTGCCAATATTATAGGCAGCTAAATTAGATAAAAATAAATATACAGTCAGAGAGGGACTGAGCTCTCAAGGAAGTCAGCGAGAAGTGGTAACATCAGAATTGTAGCTGGTGGCATATTTGCAGTAGGCAAAGCCTCAAGATTAAAAATCACAATGGACAGATTTACATCCCTAAGTATGAAAATTTGAGATTATATTGCAATTTTTACCATCCAGTGCATTAAATCCAGAATGCAGACCAGGTCTGAGTGGGTAACCAGAAGACTTGGGCCCAACTCTTTCCCAAAACATTCTTGTTTTAGAAGTCATAGATAAACCAAAGTTAATGATGTCAGTCATATTCCTTTTCCATGTGTCGTGTTTCCCCATTAGATCACTATTAGCTAAGTGGCTACACTTGTAATCTTATTTGTTATAGTTTAACCCACATTGTACCCACCTCATGATTTTGCCCTATAAACATTCTCAGAGAAATGACCAGAGGCTGGGGATTTAGCTCAGTGTCATAAACACCTGCCTTCCAAGTATACAATCATGAGTTCCACCCCCAATACCAAAAAAAAAAAAAAAAAAAAAAAAAAGACCTTAGTGGCAAACCACTTGGGACTCCTCCTGTCTTTCCGCAGCTATTTTTTTTTAAAGATAGGTTCTCTCTCTCTTTGTAGTTCAGGCAGTCCTGCCTCATCCTCCCAAGTGCTGGGATGACAGGAAGGCACCACCATATCTGGCTTTTTCAGGAGTAATTCCTATTCTCTATTAAATCTTTCCTACTCTTAACTTCCTTTTTCCTTCAAAATTCATTCTTTGATTTCAGTATACACAAACTCAGCACATCTGACAACTAGTGGGTAGGGAGTCATATTTCTGTGTCACTAGGACTCCACCTACAGTGTAGGCTCTGTAACCAGCATCTCTATTGCATCAATTTCATTAGATCCAGCCCACCATGTTTACATGCAAGGCAGAAAGAGTCAAAAGAAAAGTTTGGGGCACTTTCAAAACAGAGTACGTGGTACAGTACTGTGTACAACTGTCTCCCCAGATTTATCTGCAGAATCCATGAGTTAATAGGGAACCATAGCACTGGCATACACATTAATGCTTTTTGGGAGTAGAAGAATGATCCAAAAAGTGCTTTAAATAGTGAGTATGAAAAGTCAACGGTCACACCAAATCCCAAGAGAAACATACACAACAAGGTTTATGAGCTTTGGTGGCTGGCTTGGTGGAGGAGGCAACACCTGAGCTGAGGCTTTAAATCAGATCTTGAAGGCTAGGATGTATCATCATACTGACAAATTCACAGGAAGGTTCCCAAATACATTTTTAAAAAGTGTCCCGAGAGTCAAATTTTAAAACAAGGCATAAGGTTTTAGAGTGGTAATATACAAAGTCTCCTAAGACAGAATGTATAGCAGGCTTCTAGAACCTTACTGGAATGAGGGTGTGAATATACTCAAATATGTGTGTGTGTGTGTGTGTGTGTGTGTGTGTGTGTGTGTGTGTGTGTAATGTGCCACTTAGTTAGTAATTGGGGTCTATTGTCACCTTGTCTTGCTCTTAAATACAAGAACTGTATCATACAGATCTTTGTGTTCCCATTGGTTTGCAGTGACCCTTAATCACTCACATTTTAGGTCTCATCATTGGTCTTACGTTATTTGCTAAGCAATAAAAGCTCCGAATATCTCCAAATACCAGCTATGTATAGAAAGTAATACAAACAACCTGAAACATAAATTCGTATTTTTTTTTGGTCCTAATTTACAAATCCTGGTTAGTTTTGCCAAGTCTGCAGGTGTGCTTGGATCAGTAATCCCTTCTTGCATATGGGATTATGTGAGTGTGATGGAGGGGCTATCTGGCCGAAAACTACTCTTCACAAAACAATTTTTGAAACAAATACAAGCTGTTTGGTTCCTGTAACTACTGGGATCCGCTTTCTTTCTGGTTCATTTTCCTTTACCAAGATGGCCACTATAAAACTCAGTCCTCATTGGCCGGATTTCCCGCAGGTAACGCCTCTAGTCCCACCCACCAACTTCCCACCTCTAGTTCTAAACTCTTGGAAAAATGATTGACAAGCTGGCGTGAGTGGGCGTGGCACGGACGTGACGTTTCCGGAAGCTCCGGGTGTCAACCGAGAGGAAAGGTGGGGAAGGGGTCCCGGGAATGTGGTGGGGCAGGGGCTCTGAGCGTGACCGGGCCCTGAAGGGGTCCGCTGCTGAGCGTAGGGCCTGCAGCCTTGTCCTTCCCCGCGTTCCCTGCCTGGCCCGCCGCACCCAGGCCCCTGACGGCTCCGGTTCCCGCCGGCTGGAGCCTACCTGGCCAGGCCCAGTGCTTCCTTGGCTAATGTTTTTGAACGACCCAAAACCTTTAGACGGTTTTGTACTAGATTGGCAGTTTGGGTTTGAATGTCTTCAAAAAGGGCGCCTCAAGCAGTTGTCAGGTGCCTGTGTACTATGTACACCGTCTCCGCGCTTTGTTGCTATTTCCTTTCACTGCCTCCTCCCAAGTCCTTCAGGCCACCCTCCCTTATTTGTGAATGTAGCATTTCCTCTGCAGAGTTCTGCTCAACCCCGTGTTGTCTCCCCAGCCCAGTTGCTGGCCCCGGGAAAGGGCTTCTTTCTCCATCTATAAGTACTTCTTCCTAGAGATACTGGGATGCCCTGAGCATCCCTTTTCAAGTTAGTTCTGATGGACTGCACTGGGTTTGCCAGTTAAGCAACTTGTGGAGGTTTTAGATCTAAAAGAGACTCCGTGGGAGACGAATGCTTCTGCGTTCCAGGAGTCCCCACAGCTTTTGTATTGTTAGTGAGATTTCAGAGAGGAAGTTTTATGGATGAAATGTAACCCGAATATTGAAGAAACCGAAAGATAGAATTGGCCAGGAGATAACTATCTCTGAGGGAAGGGTGGAATAGGAAAACAGTGGCAAACAAGTGAGATTGGAATCCCCACTGAAGCAGAAGATCTCTGTTGAGGAGCAAGAAGGTATATGGGTGGAAAAGACAAGACAGGGTCAGTGGACTCGGGGCCACGAAAATTCTGAGATGAATTCTACTAAAGCTTACATAGTCTACAAGTGCTGGTTGGGGTGTACTATAATCCAGTGTGTATCAAATGCTGAGGCACTTTTTGGAGATTATAGAAAATGATGTTATCTGATTGGAACTTGGGAACTGATACTAGCTGCAAACGTATCTAGAAAGATTGTGAAATTACTGGGATTTGGGGTCCAGGGAGAGAAAACTCCCAGATTAGAGTCTTGTCCCTATGCCTTTCTCTCAATGCAAGGTGACTATGCTTTTGTTATTCAGTGTGCTTAGTTTTTGAAGATGAGTAGATTGTCCTTTTCAAGATCTAAATAGCATGTCAGGATAATCAGTGATGTTACAGACTGATTGATAGAGTGGCTTAGTGAGCATAGTTAGGATGGTTAACAGGACACTCAAATATGGAAAAATGTACCAAAGAAAATGTTGGTTATTCATAGGTTAAATCAGAATCAGCAAATTGATGTCACTTAATAGTCATTAAAGTTCACCACACTCTGTCAGGGCCTGGAGGAAATGCAAGTAGGTAACTTAGAGAAGAAAAAATGGGAAAACTGTAAGGTAGTGTCAACTCTTATGTTACTCTAGACAGGGGCACCTAATGACAGGGAATGTCTCATCTGAGGGATAGAATTGAATCCCCCATGGCCCGATATGGTTATATTCCTTGTACTTCTTAATTAATGCACAAAGATTGAGGGTTTTGAGTTTCCCAATCCTCTCACCATTGTAATTTAGGTTTCTTTGAGAGTTACAACCATCTTATAGGAGAAACACTTACTTGATCTCAGCTATAGCATATGGTATTTTTCTCTTTAATTTCTTTTTAAGGGGAAGGTTGGCGAGATAAAACACTGTGCTAAACTGTGCTGGGATGAAGTGGGCCATGGTTTTATGCCATCTGTTTTCTATTTTCTGTCTCAGAACTTCTTGGTCCTGATGTCTGACCATGGAGATGTGAGCCTCCCACCCGAAGACCGGGTGAGGGCTCTCTCACAGCTGGGCAGTGCAGTGGAGGTGAATGAAGACATTCCACCCCGTCGGTACTTCCGCTCTGGAGTTGAGATTATTCGAATGGCATCCATTTACTCTGAGGAAGGCAACATTGAACATGCCTTCATCCTCTATAACAAGTATATCACGTAAGACACCTACGATTTCCTTTTTCTTTTCTGGTGACTGACGCCTCCCTCACTGCACTCACTTATTAAGCTCATAATTGCTAAAACTAGAGAACTTTACAGCATCCTCAGTATTAATCATTTTTGCTAGCAGCTCCTACATACTGACTGTCCTTGCCATTCAAAGACATGAGTATTGAAGGTGTTGTTTTCATGACTCAATGATTTAATGAGTAAGAAACAGCTTTTTGGCTTATGCTCACATGGCCCGGCTGTTAGACAAAAGTTGGTATTCAACTAGACATGTTATATATTGATGAATGCTTTTACCATCCTTTATTAAGGCAACGAGTCATAGGATTACTTTTGATGTCTAGCCAAGCCAAAATTCTTCTCTGCTTATTTTGTAGCAAATCAAGTGATATAAGAAAAACGTTTTCCTCTTCTTAACCTTTGATATAATTGTGCAAGTCATTAAGTAATTATTGACTACTTATAGTCAGTGTACTTCATCATAATAAGGCCTTTATCATGAGTCATTTCTCGGAGTAGGCAGCATACATGGAAAATTTCAAAGAAAACTCTTAAAGCTCCAGTAGTAAAAAAGAGATATGTAATTTAGGATAGGAGTAAGTTAAAGGTTTTATATCATTTCTAATCTTGTTATTTCATAATACTTAAAAATAATTACATATGTTTGTATAGCTCTTAGTAGTTCAGAGGGTATTTTACCTACATAATTTCATTTGACCTTCACAGTTCTGTGTGCACATCATTTTCCCATTCTCTGTATGAGGAAAGAAATTCAGAATTTAGTAATAATGATTGGGATCTGTAGTGTGGGGTGATAAAACCTAGGTTTTGTAATTCCCAATTCAAGATTTGTTCCAGAGCATAGGTTCTTTTGACACTCCATAGTAGTGTTCCATGAGTTGAAAATACCCTTCTACAATCATACTCATGAGGTATACTGACTATTTTTGGTTAGTTTTTATTATTTTTTAAAAACTACATGGCATACATATTTTGGATAGAATTTAGAAGGGTATAAAAGGGTGTATATGTAGTTACAAAGTAAATCTCCCTATCTACTCCTGTATGCTCCCAGAGAGATCCATATGCACAGCAATTATCACATTACTCTTCTAGAGGGATCACATACTCCTTTAAAGTGGGAACACTAACTTTGATAGTGAATCAGCCTTTGTGTATGATGTTTAGTATCATCCACTATGTGCCAATAGCAGCCCCTCCCATATCAATGATAATAAAATAAACCTTTTTTTTTTTTGGTACCAGGGATCGAACTCATGACCTCATGCTTTCCAGGCAGGTGCTTATGCAACTGAGCTATATTCCAAGGCAATCAAAAATATCTTGTGACATTACCTGATACTCTCAGAGGTGCAAGACTGCACTGATTGAGAACTAATGCTTTAGAAAAAAGTATGTGGAAAAGTGAACTGCCTGGGATTAATATTTTAATTTTTGTAGAGGAAAGGATTGCTATTGTCTTTTTTTTGTTTGGTTTTTTGAAAGAAGGTCTCCCTGTGTAGTCCAGGGTGACCTTGAACTCACTATATAGCCTGGGCTAGCCTGGAACTTGTGATCCTTCTGCCTCACCCTCCCAAGTATGGGGGTTACAGGTGTATGTCACTCTGCTTGGCCTTTGTCTTGTTTAAGTTTAGAAGTATCACCTGTTTCCTCAGAATTCTTGTACTCATAATGCCATCATACTGTCCTGGCCTCAATATTGCTAGTATTTCATAGGGTTGTGATTACATTTCCTTTGCTGATAGGAGTTTCTCATTCTTAGCCACCAAATTTATTTTCTGAATTTCCTGAGTTTCTTTGGCTACTTTTTATAAGTGGTACCAAGGTTCACAAACTGAATTCTCTCCATGTTTCTCATTGCAAACTGATCTGAAGAAGAACTGAATCAAATTTCCCTATAAGATCAACATTGAGCCTAACTACTGAACTTGATTTGGTTTTCATCCAACTCAGTTTATGACCAAAATTGTGCAAAGAAGTTCGTGAACCAAGGCACTGATATATATACGTTTATGTACTCTTTTATGTATACCCTTCATTGACTCATATTTTTTCCAGCTATCTTAGATTGTTCTCAAAATGCTGCCCAGGGGCACAATTCCTTTAGAGAATCACTAATTGAAAAATTTCAGTATAATCATAGAATTACTCTACCAGGTACTTTTAGAAAGGTCTTGTGTGTCCTACTGTTCTATATAGAAAATGCTTTCAGTGCAAGGAATGCATTCAATTAAGAAATAGATGTTGAATTTATCTGCAATCTGCTTGGTGCTGGATCCTAGATACATAGTAGTAATTAAAATGTCTCTTGCTCTTCTTTATGTTCTTTTCTAAAGAAGGAGGAAGATAGATGAACAAATAAATACAATATAAAGAGGACGGTACAAAGGCAAAAAGAGTACTATGAAAGATTCGCCAAAAGAATCTAAGTAGAGTAGTCAGGGGAAGGTCTGCCTGAGAAGGTGAAATTTAAGCTAAGACCTGATGGGAACAATTGAGTTAGTCTTTCCAGGAGCATAGGGCAGAGCACTGAAACACAGGTATTTCTATGCTCAGAAATTCTTAGTAAGAAAGACCTCAGTATGCAGCGGGGATTGAATGAGCATTGTACTTGGAGTGTAGAAATTGAGGTGGAAGAAAGACTCTAAATGAGGTTGGAGGGGCAAGTTAGACTGATTTCTGCAAGATTTCCTAAACCATGGTAAGGAGCTTGCATTTTAATATTGAGAATATATAGAAAACCATTGAAAAATTTTAAGTGAGGCTGTGACATAAATTTACTTGTATTTTTAAAATAAGAGTATTGGCTATTGTGCTATAAATGATGGAGGCAGTACTAAGGGAAGGCAAGAGACCAGCTAGGAATTGCTGCAGCAGTTCAGAAGGCTGGTGGCCTGAAGTACTATGCAGAATGGGAAGAGGTAGATTTGATTCATGAAGGTAGAGCCCAAGGAATTTATTGATAGCTGGGAAAATAAGATGGTATCAAATAGTTTGGCTTCAGGATTCTGCTATAAGCAATTTAGGGCTTAGTCATCTATTTACTGAGAGTGGTATCAAAAAGGGGTTGAATGCTGGAAATGGTAGCACACACCTGTAATCCCAGCACTTGAGAGGTTGAGACAAGAAAATCGCTGTGAGTTCTAGATCAGCCTGGGCTACCTAGTGAACTCAAGGCCAGCCTGAACTACACAGCACGACCCTGTCTCACACAAAAAAAGTAGGTGATGGGGTAGGGTTGGGAAGAGGGGAGATCCTAGAGTTCAGGGAAAGGTTCTTCAGTATGAGATACCTGTGCAATATCCAAGTAGGGATGTCAAATATCAGGTTGTATGTACCACTGTGAGAACTGGGCTAGAAATACATACAAAGTTGATTCTATCATGCAAATGGTTCTGAAGCCATGGGAATGGCTGAGGCCTTCTAGTGAAGAAGTTCTTAACCTGGGATCCAGGTTCCTCACAAGAGTTCATTGGTAGGATTCTGGGAGTCTGTAAACTTGAGTGAGAAAAATATCTTTTCTTTTTGCTACCCATTGACTGAGATTTATCATTTTCTTCCATTTTGAATGGAGACCTTAAACCAAAGTAATAATCATATTATTTGTAATTTTGTCACCTATAGAAATCAAGATATTTTCATGTCACATTACAGTTGTTGCTAGGATCCCAAAATAGCATCTAGATTTTTGTTACTGCAGAACTGTAGTAAGGAATTTTTAGACCCATGACTAGATCCTTTTATTTAGTGTATTAATAAACAGATTAATAAAAAATACATATTATAATTCTTTTATATTTTTAAAACTGTATTTTAGTAAAATAGATCCTTTTGTAATTTTTTATTTTATATTATATCTTTAAAATTATCCTGAAATAGGTCATAGTCTTTCCTAGATCCCAGAAAGATCTATAGAATATCAGCAGATCAATAATCCTTGGTAATGAGAAGAGAAGGAACTTAGGACAGAGCTCTGAGGTTGGTTAGTAGAGGGAAAGCTTAAGACCCAGGAGGAAATCCAGAAGGGAATGTTGTCACAGGAACCAAAGGGGGTCTGTGTTCGAAGGAGAGTGTTAGGTGGATGAGGACAGAAAGGTGACCTTTGGTTTTGGTAACATGATATTGGTGATTTTGAGAAGGAATATTTCTTGAAGGATTAAAGAAACACTAGGCCAGAGTGAAGGAAAAGATAAATGGACAGTAGGAAAATAGACATAGTGGGTTGGATGAGAAAATTTTTTCTCTCTAAAAGGCCAGATAGTAAAAATTTTTGGCTTTGCAGGCCATTTGATCTCAGTTACCACTAAAACTTTGCAGTATGAAAGCAGCCATAAACAGTACTTAAATGAATGTATGTGGCTGATTCTAGTGACAAACAATTTATAGAAACAGGTGGCTAGGTGGATTCAGCCCACTACCTGTACTTAGCTAAGCGCTTGTGTAGATAAGTCTTTGGGCAAGTTTTCATAGGAAGGTGTTATGGTTTGTGTCTAGGTGGCCTTTAAAGCCTCATGTGGTCACAGGGCTTTTTCAGAGGTGGCAGAGTGATGCTGGAATTAAAGGTGTCTGATTAGTGTATCAGTCCACTGATTGGCTTGGCATAGTTCTGGTTAAGATTAAGGGTGTGAACACTACACCCTGCATCTACTATAAGGGACTGAAACCTCTGCAAAATGTAATCTAAAGAAACCTTTACCCCTTTAACTTTGGGTGTCAGATAGTTTGTCTCAACAATGAGAGAAAAGTAACTAAGACACAAAGTCTCTGAAGGGGAATAAGGAGTATGTGAACATGTATGTATTTATATGTGTATGTATGCACATATGTACTTTTAAAAGGAGAGATTCCTTTTCACTGACTGAGAAATCCAAGGTATAAATAATTTAAAGAGTAAAAGCAAGAAAAGCAAAGATAATCGGAAGTAGGGAGGCAGACCTAGGAGATAGGTAGGGGATCGAGAATGGAGG